GAGTCACACTTCAATATCTAGAGTAAGTTGAGTTGCTGTATAAATTTAGAATATGAAAATAAGTCTTTTTTTTACTTTTACTCACTACAGCTTTGCTAGTGAGATTGCAGGGGTGGAGGACCTGGGCACCACTGGAAGAGGCAATGACCTGCAGATTGGGACCTATGTGGAGAAGATGTTCATGTCAGAGTTATCTGGGAATGTTATTGATATATGCCCAGTTGGAGCCCTGACTTCTAAACCATACGCATTTACTGCTCGCCCTTGGGAGACCAGGTTTTTGGATTGTGCTCTACATTTTGATTAACTTACCAGGGTCCAAATTTTGCAAATTCTTCTCATACATTCTCTTTTGTTTTCTACAGGAAGACTGAATCAATTGACATTCTGGATGCTGTGGGTAGTAACATTGTGGTGAGCACTCGCGGTGGTGAGGTGATGAGAATCCTGCCTCGTCTTAATGAAGATATTAATGAGGAGTGGATCTCAGACAAAACAAGGTTCCTTTCATGTCACACAAAGTTTGCTTCACAGACCCAGATTTCTGTAAAATGTTGGCTTCATTGCGGAACTCTTCCTTGCTTCCATCCTGACAGGTTTGCGTATGATGGACTCAAGAGGCAGAGGCTTACTCAGCCGATGGTGAAAAATGAGTCTGGGCAGTTGGTTCCCACATCCTGGGAAGATGCGTTGACTCGAGTTGCTGGAGTAGTATGTAATTTATAATAAAATTTCATTCTGTAATAGTGTATGATAATTTCACAGCTTGTTTTGACATAGTCAGTTCTAAATAGCATCTGTTTTATTTGACAGTTCCAAGGAGTTAAGGGAAATGATGTAGCTGCTGTTGTGGGAGGCTTGGTGGATGCAGAGGCTCTCATTTCCCTGAAAGACGTGCTGAACCGTTTGAATAGTGACAACCTGTGCACTGAGGAGGTGTTCCCCATGGCTGGAGCTGGGTATGACCATGCAGAGAGAAATACTGAAAATGCTGCAAAGCCAGTTGAACTAGTGCTGATAATAGGTTTCTTTATTGACCTTGGCTTAGATCTGACCTGCGCTCAAACTATCTTCTAAATACTGGGATTGCTGGCATTGAAGAAGCTGACCTGCTGCTTCTAGTAGGCACCAATCCACGCTATGAAGCTCCTCTTTTCAATGCACGAATCAGAAAAAGGTACATTGAATGTGGTTAAAACAGTATTTCTGGTTATTGAACAATGTTGACATTGTAAATTTGATGGATGTTAAACAAAAATGCATGTTTAATATGAACTTTTCACCTCTGCTTTAGTTGGCTTCACAATGAGTTGCAAGTGGCTCTCGTGGGAAAGGAAGTGGACTTAAGTTATACCTATGACCATCTTGGGGAGTCTGCCACGGTTCTTCAAGAAATAGCATCAGGAACTCACCCGTTCTCACAGGTGACACTGAGCACTTATGTAATGCATGTTATCAATCAACTGAAATATTTCCTCCTAATTTTGTGTATTTTATCTCCTCTGACAGATGTTGGCTAAAGCAAAGCATCCTACTGTTGTGGTTGGTAGCAGCTGCCTGCAGAAAGAGGATGGAGCTGCAATTATGGCAGCTGTATCAACCATTGCTCAGAATGCTCGTGTCAGCAGTGGAGTGGAGGAAACCTGGAAGGTTCTCAATGTTCTTCACAGGTCATTGTCTTGGAAAATTAGTGTAAAAGTTTCCAGTAATAGGGCAGTGTTCAAGGGTTTTTTTTTTTTACTGTAATATACATGCTGTTTTGCCTGTGTCTTCAGGGTTGCCAGTCAAGTGGCTGCACTTGATCTTGGGTACAAGCCAGGAGTGGACACTATCAGAAAGAATCCACCCAAAGTTCTGTTCCTACTAGGAGCAGATGCTGGCTGCATTACTCGTCAAGACCTCCCTAAGGATAGCTTCATAATCTATCAAGGTCAGCTGTTTTACTGCACAGCAGTATAAGCTCTTCCACTGCATCTCTCATTTACATTTTAACTTATGTATGGCATCTTAGAGAAGCAGTGTAACTCCTTACATATTTTTTGCATGCACAGAAGAGTCTGACTAAATGAGTAAGGAAACCCAATGAATGCAGAAGCTTCCATTCAGTGTACAAGGGTTTACTGGAAGGTTTGATGAGTAATTTTAACAGATTCCAAAGCAGTTAACACCCACTGGAGATGGGTGTGTTTCACAGAGCTCCCACCATCATCATCAAATTACCAAATGAGGAAATAAGGGGCATGAGCTTGTTCTGGCTGTCTATTGTAAAAAAAACAAACAAAAAAAAAAAACACCTTACTAAGCTACTTTATGATTTTTCAGTTCATTTGTCACCCTCCTACATATGTTCATGTTAAGGGTTAATTTTGGTGCTCTGTGCCATAACTGCCCAGGTCACCATGGTGATGTTGGTGCACCAATGGCTGACATCATACTTCCCGGGGCTGCATATACTGAGAAATGTAGCACCTATGTGAACACTGAGGGCCGTGCTCAACAGACTAAAGTGGCAGTGACTGCTCCAGGTGTGGCCAGGGAGGACTGGAAGATCATCAGAGCAATTTCTGAGGTGAACTACAATACAAGATAATTATGCTGTATTAAGCAGTAAGAAATAAGATTAAATGCTGTGTATTTTCCATTCTCATTTAAGCTTGCTGGAGTTACTCTGCCCTATGATACTCTTGATGAAGTGCGTGATAGACTGGCAGAGGTTTCCCCAAATCTGGTGCGATATGATGACATTGAGGAGGCCAACTACTTTAAGCAGGCAAATGAGCTGTCTAAGGTCAGCTGCTGTTTTCCTCCAGTATGTGTTTAGTTTATCATAGAGAAGGAACTAATAAAAGTTTAATTTAAATGTCAGCTTGTACAGTTCATATATCTCAGTTCACTTCATGCTGTTCTACATGATGATGGTGATATCTTGCTTATCTCTTTCAGGCAGTGAACCAGGCTGTCCTTACTGAACCCTTAGTCCCTCCACAGCTTACTGTGAAGGACTTTTATATGACAGGTGGGTCACTAGTACTCAATTCATGGGTTTCTCCTCTCACTAAACCTAGTTTATATATTATTTTCATTTCAAAATCCTCAAGGAAAACACAACAGTGGACAGCAACAGGACAGCAGTGTTTTATCAATTCACTAATTATATCATGTTGAAGGAAATAGTAATTAAGTAATAGTAATACTAATAATAATGCCATATTTTATGATATTCATAATTAATTTACAATGTGCCCTTGTTTGCTCTGACTACTGTTGGTAAGCATTTTTTTTCTTTCCAAATTAATTAAAAACCCAAACAACAATTCTCGCTAAAGTTTCACATTATTGCTGAATAAAGTAATAATTTATTTCATGTTGACCAAACTTATAACAAACATTAAGATGTGTTTACTGCTGATGTTTGTTACTGATGTAGTTGTAAAGAAGCCAAGCTGTCCACAGCACCCACACTGGTTTTCAATATCATAAAAACTATGTAACATTATGTAGACAAGTAGAGATTCTACATAATCTTGATATGTTTATATGGCATTTTTTGATTTGTCATGGACACTGTTAATATGTAAAGGTTAGATCTGTCATTTTCTAAAGAAATTTTCAGAAGTCATCTTTATTCTGCTTGAGCTCTTGATCAGATTAATACAGGAATAGAAGGGTCCTTTTTGAATTATTAAATATTGTGATGCAAAAAATATTTGGACATCCAGTGGTTATTCTATATTTGGACAAAACAAAGATACTGGCAATGTTGCTATTCTCAGAGCACTACAGCTAAGGGGATCAAAAATGTATGAATAATTCAGTATGCTGGCCTAAAATCTCAATCTCTCACCAAATGGCCCACATCGTTCTTCAAATTATATTAAGTTGTGAAAAACACTTTTGTAAGTTATAGTTCTTTGAATTTGAGTTAACAAAATGCTCCTTAGTTTAAAGCTCATCTGAGATTGGTCATTTTTATCTTTTAATTAAAAATCTTGTATACAAGTCGAGTCTACAAAATGAAAAATAACTAACAATGTCCAAATTATTATTATTGTGTTGCCTGTATGCTGGTGGTACACATTTGTATTATATAAAACACTTGACTTATTCATCCATTAAAAAATTGATTAATAGCACTGCAACACCAGACACTACTGTAGCACTGTCATTTCACTTCCCAAATATGGGTTGAAATTGATATGTTTATGTAATTGTAGCATTAAATGTGTAAAAAAATACCCTTTTTTAAAATTCATAGCACCATTAACACTCAGGGATTTTCTAGTTAGACCCTATTACTATGTTGAGTTTAGCTCTTTTTGGTCAACTTTTAAATCTGCTCTCAATCTTGACCCACAGATCCGATAAGCAGAGCCTCCCAGACGATGGCCAAGTGTGTTAAAGCTGTCACAGAGGGAGCACAAGCTGTGGACGAGCCAGCCATATGCTAGCTACACACGCCATGGATAGCCATCCAATTATTGCACACAAAAAAATTATACGCACAACTCCTCTATTTACACATTCCTAGAGACATATTTATTTGCACATGTGTTTTACTATAGTAGCTGTTTTACTATAGTAGATGCCTCAACTCACTTTACTAACCTGCAGAAACATGTCTATGCATTATTTTTAGAGTGAAAATGTGAGTTTAGGTTTAACAAATCTCCAGAGATGCACATCTGACAGTATATGTTTGCACTTGTTAGGACATTAACATTTAGTAGATGTGACCAAAGGTTTATAAATCTTTATCCTCCAAAGGTAAATCTAGTATTTTGTCTTCCTGTGAAATTACCAATATTAAAAGTATTATGATTATATTTTCCTAAAGGTATATAGAGTACATAGTATTTAAAGTGTAGCTATTTGTAAGTGTGACATTTAATAAACCGGTTTTCTGTAGCATGCCTAATGAATCTTTGCAAATCCCCTATTTAAGTTTCTGCTCCTACTTAAAGCAATGTTTAAAGTAATAAAATTATGTTTTTCTGCCATGAATGGCACTTTCCTGTTTGGTGTTACACCGACTCAACTTTTCCAGTCTCGGGACCCGGTATCTGATTGGCACATGGTCCATCATCAGTGAACAGCCGGCAACAGTGTGGCAGCAGGGCTGATAAGTGATTCATATGGAGGATGATAGCCGTGGTCCAGGTGGATTTCACACTGCAACACTTTACTGGACCCCTTAGTCAATATGTTTTAACCCAGCTGTTTTAAATGTGGAACATGTAGACGGCACAGTCCTTCATACAAACTGTAATTTCTTTCTTAAGCGATTAAAAGGACACTTCTACAATGTAGGGGCTTTTAACAAAGTTGAATTTCCAATATGGTAGGAGAGGTTGTTGTTGTTGAGCGGATTGTTGTCATGTCCCCGCAGTGCCTGTAGTGGTGCTGTGAGGAGTCTGCTGTGGATCCAACAAAAATCCTCAGCAGCCTACCTACTGCTTGTAATTTGCTCTGGATAGCCTATATTTACATGCATCCTTATTTCAAGATACACCGAGCTCGATGAAGATCACTGTTACTATCCTATCTCGACTATCGATGCACAAATAGCCTAGCTGATTCTAATAGACATTTCGGCCGTCTATCTGGAGCGAATACCTTACACAGCCCATACCAATTCAAGGTAAGCGAAATCGTATACAGCCTCGGCCTCGATTTCAGAGTGTACCTTTTCGCAGAGGCTTCAGTCGGCCAGGCGCTCTACTGGAGGCCGCTGTGCCATCGAAGCTAAGAGGCCTCTCATTTATGAGTCATTTATTTTATATCCTGTGATCTGACCAAATGACGCAATGCCTTAAGAGTTTATGTGGAGTTACACAATATTGGAAGTTATAAGTCTTGTAACCGTCTAATGTTACATTATGTGGCTATATTTCATATCGATTATTACCGAGGCCTTCGATGACAGGCCTTAAGCCTCGTATGTAGACCCTTTGTTTGGAAGTATTTTGCCAGAAATGTATTATGTTTGTATACATTAATATCCCACGACTAAGGCCGACCATTTTTTGCTTGAATTTTATGATTACGCTTACTTTTTCTAAATAAAACTAAACTGAAAATAGACCTTTATAGTGTTACTGTTTGCTTATGTTTCCGTTTCCTGGTTAGCTACCGCCTACTAATTTGTGTTTTTAGCTTTGATAGCGTTTTAGCTAACTAGCAAATTTGACTTTTGGTGTCTGGTCTTTGTCAATAACATGTAATTTCTGCCTAAAGAAGGGTACAGTTGTGTCTTATGAATTAAGATACGGGTGTATATCAAACGTAGATGCGTTTATAATTTCATATTATAAAGTTTAACATCTGTCTATCGGCTCCAAGCTAATGCTGGCAAGCTAGCTCCCTGAATTCAACTAGTAGTTACGTTAGCTAACAGTAGTCACCGTTTGCTGTCTGTCCGGTTCTCTGTATTTAACTGTAGTTGTTAAAAAAAAAAAGTTGACCAGGCTGATATAAATTACTCTTAGCCAACCTGCCCTTGTGTGTCCAGCATGTTCTTCAGTGGTCAGAACCGTAGCTCTGTCAGACCGAACTTGAGAACAAATTATTAAAGTTGAACGCATCAGCTAAGCTACTGCTGAAGCTGGGCAGCTAAGACTACAATTACATTACAGTGGATTGTGATATACCAGTAACAGCCTGTTTGAATGCTTGTTTATTATGAAGCATTACACTTCTAAAATAGCAGCGTATGTGTTTCTTGTTTAGACGAGCCATATACTAGACAATTTACATGGAGTTACTGAAGTGTTCTGCAAGTCTTGTAATGATGCCTACATACTAGTGACTTTTAGTTTTTAACTTTGTCTGACAGATTGCTGGCATGCATTATACTGTTTTACCACCATCATATTATCTTGTAAGTGCTTGCTGTAAGGATAATTGAATGGTATGTGGAATGAAAACACATACTCTCTGTCTACCAGCTGTGTCCCACTGAGAGATTCTGTCACTGAAAATTATAAGTTGTGTAAGCAACTAGTTAAAATTCAGTGGCAAACTTTGTGTAGACGATAATGTATTTAAATTTATGTACAATATTGTTATTCACAGCATTTACTCACACAGTAGTTCAACGAACAAGCAACGATGAATTAAATTAGTCACAAATATTGGAATGTCATTGAAGTTTTGACTTGACAGTAAAAATATTTATGTAGCAAACATTACTTCCTCCTGAGTATTTATTTTTACTTATTGCCTAGTAAACAGTCAGCTGTAGAGGTGATGGTTTACTTGCCCCTTTGCTGTGCATGTGCATGCATGGTTTCCTCTTTAGTATGAAGTGCTAGTGATGTAATTCATGGTTTTTCCTGACTTTATCCCATCAGCTGATGTTGTCAAGGACACGAGTCACGTGATGTATGAAGGCAAACACATACACTTCTCAGAGGTGGACAATAAGCCATTGTGCTCATACAGCCCAAAGCTCTGCAAGCAGCGCAGACTAAATGGCTATGCTTTCTGTATCCGGCACGTTCTGGAGGACAAGACAGCCCCCTTCAAGCAATGTGAATATGTGGCTAAGTACAACAGCCAGCGATGTACCAACCCCATTCCCAAGTCAGAGGACCGCAGGTGTGTATGATTGTGTACATGTGTGGCAGATTCCACTATGCTGTGCAGAAAGAATATGTCACAAGTGTGCACATTGTGCTGAGGATGTGTTCTTGTTTTCTAGGTACTGTAACAGTCACCTGCAGGTTCTCGGCTTTATCCCCAAGAAGGAACGGAAAAAGAAACACGATGCTTTGGAGGACATGCGTTCACGGGCTCACCTGGAGTCAGTGGCACTTAACATAACTGTGCCCTCTCTTGCTCTGAAAGCTCCCAATGGTCTAGATGAACTTCCACCATCTCCCCCCTGTACACGTCTGTTACCCCTCCCTGATGGGGAACTCCTGGACCCTTTTGCCTTTTATGAGGATGACACAGATGGGGAGGAGGTGGGTACTCCTCGGAAGGGCAATGCCATCAAGAAGAAATTACAGAGTCGGCTGGTGCTCAACCAGAAACTCTGCCATGACACGGACCTCTTCCAGCCACCTCCTGAGCACTTTAGTCCCTCTCCTGTCCCCCGTGTCCACCCCTCCTCACCGCTCAACACTCATCTCCCTCGGCAGCCGTCAGGTCTTCTCCAGCCGCCCCAGCACTCCAGCGTGACTTCCTTCATCTTCCCAGGACAGCAGCAGGGTTTATTATGCAATCCACCACCACCTCAGACGGTCAACTTTCTGCCTCCAGGGATGCCTGCTAATGCAGCACCCAGTCCAGTGCAACCTTCTGGGCCGTCACTCAGCAGGAAAATGCCTTTCACTGCTACTCACTTGCCTGTCAGTTGCAAGGACAGTGGCAGTAACAATCAGCGGCATGTGGTTGTCATGCGCCCCACTGCCTTCTCACCTTCTGCCAGCTGTTTGGCCAGGTTGCAACATCTTGTGCAGCTCTGTGCCAAGAGACACCGGGAGCATGGAGACCTCTTTCCACATCTAGGTACTTAATTTAAATGTATTTACCACCAGTTTTCAAACTCACTCTGTTCTCTCACACTAAATTAATGTGTAATATACTTCAGGTAAACTGTAGTTAATGAGAAATTAACCTGCTGAAATGGATGAGCTGCTCTAACAAGTTCCCTTTCAGGATTGGACTGGTCAGAAGATAGTGCTGATGATGATGATGATGATGAAGAGGAGGCAGAGAGATTTGTTCCTTTTCAGACCTCTTGGAGACCACAGAATGGGTTGGTATCCAGGTACTTATCCTAGTACTTTACCTTACTGCCTGAATTTGGACCTGACATTTTCTGTCATGACTTCTTCTGTTTCCCGAATAGGTTGGAAGACGACTGCGGTTCCTCTCGGAGAACACGGCTACTTAGGCTTTGCTCGTACCTCCAGGAGAAATACAAGCACATGTGCAGGCAGGAGAGAGCGAGTATCCGCCAAAAGAGATACCGCTATGCCTTCCGCAAAGCCTTGTTGCACGCTGCCAGTAACAACCCAGACTGCGCTGGGCAGCTGATCCAGGATGTCGGTGGTGCCTCTCGAAGCTCTTCAAGGTATTCTCACATATGTGATGTTTGTCAGTTTTGTTTATCTCTCTATGAAGACAATAAGATTAAAACACATGTATTAGTAGATAGCAGCTTGGTTTAGACAGTCACAAACCTTCCATCAACAACGACTGTTTTCTAGTCTTTTTTTATTCTTTATTTAAAAAGTAAAACGTGACAAGTGCAGAGTGATGTCAGTTTTGCTGCTGTTTGCTCAGTCCTGTGGCTGTATGTCTTTACAGTGTGGCTCCAGCAAAGCAGCAGACCACAGATACAGGGACCTGCACTGGCAGCACAAAGGGCCAGGCCTGCAACAACAGAGCTCTGCCCTTCACTCAACACTGCTTTCAGCGTATCCTTTCCATCACTTCACTGATTGTACAGCTGGTCGCGAGAAGTGCATCACAGTGACTGTGTATAATTTATACAATGTTGTACAAAGTTTTTCATAAATCACATACTGTGATGTACAATATCCCTGCGTGATGGAGTATGACGATCACATGCCCTCTCTCCTGTATATGTGTTATTTCCTTTATTGTTCTCTGTAGACATTCTGTTGAATCGTTCCCAGCAGCTCTTTGCTAGTTGCACAGCCAAATTTGCAGATGGTCAGCAGTGCTCCATCCCTGTGTTTGATATCACGCACCAGACGCCCCTGTGTGAAGAGCATGCCAAAAAGATGGTGAGTTCAGTGTTTAAGAGACGAGTTCAACATTTTGGGAAATGCACGTTCAAGTTCAAAGTGCAGATGTACATTCAAATGTAATGAAATTGATTTGCCGCGGCTCTCCCTCAGCCCTTGAACTGTAAGGAAGTTTATAATAAATAGATAAATAATCATAGTAGCTCAAATAGTTTGTGGTCCTGTTCAGTGAGGTTGCCAAACGATACTGGTATGCCTTCAGTAAGGATGCTCTCTATGGTAGTCTGGTAAAAGTAACCTAGGGTTTTTTCAGACATTACATCATTTTTAAGCGACCGCAGAAAGTAAAGCCTCTGTTGCACCTTCTTAATGACGAAGTTAGTATTAAGGGAGAGGGAGTCTGTAATCTGAATGCCTAAAAATCTAAGTATCATTGATGTAATAACAGTTTAACAGAAGTGGATGCCAATCAACAGTTACAACCTTAGTATCAGTAGTATGTATTTGCTTTCTCACTGAGAGTTAGTTAAGGGGATTGATACACTCAGTTAACTTAGCTTAGCATTAAGCCTGGAAACATGTGGAAACAAATAGCCTGACTGTGTCCAAAGGTAACAAAATCTATCCACCAGCACCGGTGAAGCTCACTAATTAACAAGTTGTGTTTTTGTTTTCAGTCATCCAGCAAACAAGTAGAGACTCTAGGAATCTCCTGTGATCTGTAGTTTTTTTACACATTGTTTTTTTTGTTCAGCTTGAACAAACTATATACAGTGAGTTTTAGAGATGCTGGTATATGAATTTTAAGCCATGCTAACGGGATGCTGTTTAAAGCTAACACTACTTATTTACTGCACGGTCATGAGAATGGTGTTAATCTTCTCATCTAATTCTTGGTAAGTAAGCAAAAGCAAAAGTGTATTTCCCAACATGTTGAACACTTCCTTTTAATGTTCTCTTATTGTTGGTGACAGTTAGATTTCATATGGGTTTAGGTTATGATGACTCAGTGTTCTTGTATACATTCCACACAGGATAACTTCCTGCGTGGGGATGGAAACCGACGAGTGCAGCACCAGCAGCAGCAACAGCGAAAGCCACGTAAAAAGACCAAACCACCGGCGCTCACCAAAAAACACAAGAAGAAGAGAAGGAGAGGGCCACGGAGGCCTCAGAAACCCATCCCTCCAGCGTTGCCACAGGGGAACCTGGGAATGCCTTCTACAAGTCTAGCAATGCCCTCACAGGCTAGCATCAGGTGCGCTACACCTGCTGTCTCTACTCTGTTGAGTTAAAAATTTAATGTGTGGAGATCCATAGTCAAGGACAACACCCTCACTCACAGGATAATGTTACACATGTGTGAACAGCCCCTTCACTACAGTGCCTTATTGTGTTACTTTTCTTAAGGTTTTTGATCATCTCTTTTTTGTTGCAGGAGCCCTTCAACTCCAGACCTAAGTACAGAGGAGCTTCCTGACGATATCACCAATGAAATGGCAGACATTCCAAATGACCTTGAGCTAAACCAGGAGGATTTTTCTGATGTGTTACCCCGACTACCTGATGACCTGCAGGACTTTGACTTGTTTGAAGGTTCTCTTACAGCTTCTTGTGCACCACTTTATGTGAACAATAGCAATATCCCTTTGGTCTGTGATTTTATAATGATGTGTGTGTGTGCGTGTGTGTGTGTGCGTGTAGGTAAGAATGGAGAGCTCCTGCCCACCACAGAGGAGGCTGAGGAACTGGTGCGTGCACTGCAGGCTATGGGGTCCTACCCAGACTCCTTGGTGTGCCTGACCTCCATGGGAGACCTGGCCCCATCCGAAGGAGTGGACCACAGAGCCATGACTGTGTTCCCTGGTCCAGTCCAGCCAGGGACCATGGGGGATCTACTCAGCAGCCGCATCCCCACAGAGAACTTCACCAGCCTTGAGCTGGAGGACAATATACTGCAATCCACTGGGGGACACTTTCCCCCCTCACCGCCATCTCAGCCCACTAACCAGCCCCCAACTTCGTGCTCCAACCTGACCTCATCTTCTTCTACAGTAGCCCCCTCCACCACCTCCCTGCTCACTCAGACCTCCATTACAGAGCGAACGTTTTCCCGGACGCACACATCTCATGTCCTGGCCAAGTCGGACGCACCCACATCATCTCCCCAAGGCAGCCACTACAGCAGTGAGCATGTGCCATCCCCATACAGTGACCACATATCTTCTCCCCATGCCAGCTCCTTCCAGTCTGACACCCCTCTGCTGCTGGAGGTCCCTCTCAGCGGGGTACCAGGACCCCCACGCTCGTCATGGAATAATCTCCCTCTCCCCATCACCGACCCCACGCAGTTTGGCAATCTCATAGGATCGGAAAGTCATCTCATATCCACTTCCCTGTCCACTCCCCCGGCCACCACCCACTCTGTGACGCTGCAGCCTATGGCTGCCCTTTCAGCGATGCCTCAGAGCGGCTTGACAGGTTTAACAACTCCCCCTGCCCCCTCGTCCTCCCTCCCATCCTCCTCACATGATCTTCTGACCTCCACACAGCCCAAGCAACAGCTCCCTCAGTTCAGCGCGGCCTTTGGCCATCAATTGGCCTCCCACAGTGGCATCCCGAAAGACGTGCAGCCCAGCCACAGCTCCACAGCACCCCCCGCTGGCTTCTCCATAGTTAGTGCCACTGCTGCAAGTGCCAACAGCGCCACACCACCCTTCACGCAAAGTAAATGAGAGCAGGCGGCCTGCAGCGGCTGCATGATGGTCTGTGGACTCGCAGTCACTTACAATCCAGTCGACTGGCTTCTGATTGACCACCCCACTTCATCTGCTACATGTGTGCAATGTGGTAATAGTGCACTATTTGATAATGAATTTGCACAAACTCAGATTTTCCTCAATATTTTCTATTTTGTTCTTTAACCCTGTAGCCAGACTCTGGGATTTTAAGTCAGTGTGAGCCCACTTGTTTGATGCCTTGTGGTTTCGTCAGCAGGGGGTTACAGTCAAATCTTTCAGATTTTGTGATGAAAGAATCGGGTGAAAATTGGCGGAAGGACCTTAGCAGAGATTATCTGTGTCACAGTGCTCAGAATTCATAGAAGCCTCAATCAGTGGTCGGTTTTGTTTGCTTTGCCAGTTAAAGTCCTGTCTTAAAATGATCAACTGTACCCTGCCTTGCTCAGATGGCCATTGCATTTAAAAAAAAAAAAAAAAAATTATTCCACCTTTTTCATACACTGCTTCTGTCACGCCCTGAAAAACAAGAGTACAAGTTGTGATATTTGTGACCCATTATGTTTCAAGCTATTTAACTGTTATCATGATATAGAATCTTACTGAGTCAGATTTCACAGTCATACGAATTTACCAAAATACTTTTAAACAGCTGTTTTTATATTGTGTATACTATATATGTGCTCATTTATTTGTTTGCTCAGACGTCAAAATCTCTGACCTCACCATTGGTTGTGGGACTCTGAGTGGCCTAGTAGACACTTGAAGGTAAATATAGTTTCTTAAAGCAATAAACACATTAACATAACTCTAGCATTTAAGATATTTTATTGGTCTCATTACATGTAGCTTCACTTGCTGAATCAAGGCTGGATCAGGAATATACTTTGGCTTCTATAACTGTTGTAAACTCTGTATTTATACAACAGTTTCACTCAACACTAGAGCGAACAGAAACCAGTGATCAGGTCAACCTGACTTCTTGTCTCGGGTCATACTGAGTGGATTTGTGAGGCTAATAAATGAGTTTCAGTGTTATAGTAATGGTGATGATGGAGTAATCCAGGGACTTTAAGTGTCTACTCTCAAAGGTGCTCTCTGGTCCACATGTACAATGGTCTTTAGTGACTTGCATGGAAACCCACTATAAGACGTTAAGGCCGCACTACCCTGAAAAGGTTTAGGCAGTGAACTGGCACTGGAAATGAATACTTTACTCATTAGCTAGGTGTAATGTGATGGTATAAACTGGTGTGTTGAGCACATCTGAGGTAAAGCACTGTCTGTTTTACTCAGTTATAAAGTGATTTTAAGAGAAATGATGCAAACCTGGGGCCTGGATTTGATTTTAGAAAAATGAGGACTGTCTGTCTGTGACTCATACAGCAGTAAAACCATGGCTTTTGATAGATATTATATTAGACATTTGACAGATCTGTCATACATTGTTGAGTATTAGGTATATAGAGTAGCAGTCTCTATCTTGGGGTTTGTTGGTGAATTGTTGAGTAGCAATGGATTGAAATTGTTTTTTGCGATGTATTCAGTGGAACCTGTGTCTTGTAGAATGAATCTCTCGTATTTAATGGCTATCAAAATGGTTGTAAGTTCTGTTTGAAGTTGGAGGGATCAATGTTTGTATGCTATGTATGCTTTCATTTTGTTTTTAATAATATTCTGATGGAGAATATTTTTTGATAGCTATTAAACACCAGGAAGAAGTCTGAGATCGCATGGGCCAGTGACCTTTTGTGTAAGAGCATTATAATATCAATATTAGATTATGGTCATTGGCTCAATTGTCGGTGGTATGAAACATTGGAATATATGCATCGCCATTTCATTTCATTTTGTGGAGAAAAACTGATCAACATACAGTATGTTGCTTTTTCAACACAGATTTGCACAGGAGTGGATGAGGCCGAGGGTGTTTCACATGTCCCATGTCTGTCTTTGTTTTGTTCTGTTTTTTTTGTTTGTTTTTTTTTTTTTTTTGCTCGGACGCTCATTAAATGAACAGCTGCCATCATTACCAGCTCTGAGCCTGCACCAGACCCCTTGTTTCCAGCTGTGAGAAGGCCCAGTTCTGTCTCTCCCTTCCAAAGAGAAAACACATTATGAAGTGTAAACCTGTAGCTTCACCAGAGACGACTGGGCTTCTCAGTGACTGCAGTGTTTGTCATAGTCAGGTTGGAAGAAAATGTTTGCAAGGCAATACTGCTGTATCCACATAGCATGAGATTAGTCGCTGCACCAGTTTACTCTCTCAACAACCACGTAGAACAAAATTAACAGGGCTCGTAGGTATATGTAACTGCTTGAATTCAGAGATGGCTGACAAATTCCTATACTCATTGAATGTACTGTATTACTGTTTTTAAAGATAGGATGAGCTAATCTAGTCACCTTTTGTTATTGGTCCTTGTTTAATTTGTCTAAGGTATTTTTTGTATACAAAGGTTTACATTTTTATGTATATTTTTCTTGTGTACAAATTATGTAATATGTGTACAAACACTGTATGTAATATCTGTATATAGTGTGAGAAATTTGATCTTTTGTTTTTGGATGTATAAATAAAACTTGCTGTGAGGTATTTGCTGACACAGTTTGATATGTTTTTTTGTTTTATTTTAGATGCTTAGAAATAATTTCCACTATGCATGTTGGTGGTTACATGAAATCTTTTTAAATTTTAATTCACAGTCCCATTGTAATCCCAAATATCCCCCCTTACTGTTAGATAAACAGCTGGCAACAGACATTTTAAAAAGGTCAAGAATCAACTGTTGAGCTAGGCTACAACATTTAGTTCATCAATTACTGTTTCATTTACTTTTCTGATTATTTTTTCCTCAATATTCTGACACTTTATATACTAAATTCAATTAATTGAGAAAATAACCAGAAGATTAATTCATTATAACATTTGTTACACAACAGTTAGTTCCGACCACGTGGTTTGATTGGACGAGAGGCATTCCATGTGTGCCGATACGGAGTGTGACGTCACTCCCTCTCGTGTGATATTACTTAATTAGATGCAGCCCTGTAACACTGAGCCTCAGCTGCTATGGCAACATGTGCTCAGAGAAAAACAGAAATTTCACGTCTACATTTCCATTACTTCCAACAAACTCCATCTGCTGATGAAGAAAAATAAAAAATATATATAAATAAGGTTTGTATTGTAATGTGTATTCTTTGGTTTATTCACATGAAATTTAAAAGCCTTGTCTTAGCTTAGTTTAAGATAGCTTAATTTGAGTGTTCAATTTGTGTAGAATGTCAGGGGAAAAAGGTTGAACCCTTTACTCAGTAATTAATATATTTAATCTCATAATTTTTAATTAACTTATGCATTTCAAAATCTAATATTGTCATGGGTTACTGTGCACAAGTTAACCTAAATTAAAAGCTAATACAGTAATGGCAGGAAGGGTGATATTTCCACTGTAGGTTGATAAATACACATGTTCTGAAACTTAAAAAAATAGGTAAGCAAATTTCAAATGAGGTCATGATAAGTTATACGACTTGGTAAAAAATAATGGCAAAACTGTTCATCGAATTTGTACTGGATTTTTTATTCTTTCCTTAATCATTTGACATCTTCCAATAAATCCAACAGCACTGGCCTGAATTAGCATACATGTATACTGGACTATGAACTGTCAGCAAAGTCACACAAAATGAAATGTACATTTTAAGTGATTGCCATCCAGTGTTTACTGAAACTTAAACACATCACAGAACCAAACTGTACTCCCTCTATTACATCTTCTGGGTTATAAAAATAGTTTAATAGAATATATGCCTACTTGTGCTAAGAAATGACTCCTGGCGATCACACTGCTTTATTGCCATAAAACACACAGGGGGGGGTGGGGTGGGGGGTGTACAAATCGAACTGGCTATAACTGCAACTTAATACTGTGGCCTTGTTAAGTACCATTTTTTAAAAAGCAAAAGAATTCTACAAAGTGCAACACATAAAAAGATAGGGTCATATTTGACCATGTACAAGGTGCAAATTGTATTGAATTTGTGTCTCTGTTTGGGGAGGGGGCTTACATGGCACATTTCACAAGAGAGATTTGAAAGAAGAGCAAGAGAAGAAGAGTTATTTTTCACAGCAAAGCATAAAAACACAAAGGAAAATATAGGATGAGTATGGAAATGATTGAGTCTGGTACCTTTTCTTGATTTGGTTTCTACTCATTTGACTTTTACTCATCCTGCTGTGTATTTCACCATAATTAGCGAGCAGGAAAGAAAACTTCAAATGTACATGGAGACAAACTGGAAAGAAATGTTCTGGTAAATGATAAAAATTAAAGAGTTAAAAAAATAGTTTGATATTTTAGGAAAAACTTTTTTTTGCTGGGAGGCAGATGAGAAGATCGAATCTACAGCCAGCAGCCAGTTAGCTTAGCACAAAGACCAGAAACAGGTGGAAACAGCTAGCCTGGCTCTGTCCAACAGCAACAAACTGCACCTACCAGCACCTATTTCTAGTCTTTGAGTAGTTGGCAGAAACCGGCAGAAACTATGAGAGGTTACTGGTCCCGGCCAAGAAACCACAAACCTATTGCAGACTGAAGCCTAATACTGCGCTCATGTCATGTCATTTAAACATTAGTTACGAGCAGCTCAGCTGGAAAAAATTTTCATCTTAGCCGTCAACTTGTAATCGTGAATTTCTGACAGCTACGATATCTCCCACTTGGTATTAATCTTCTCATCTAACTCTCAGCAAGACAGTGAATAAATGTATGTCCCAAAATGTCAAACTGCTCCTTTAACTTCCCCTGTGCCATGTATTGCCCTGTGACAAAAAAGAATATATCATCTGACCCCATAAGCTTTATCTCTCTTCTGAGAAGTAAAATGAGTTTTTGAAATGTTTTTGATCTTTTCTCATTTGTCTTTAGAAGTATTGCTGCATATGCATTTTAATGCCAGAGGGGGGAAAAAAAAAGAGGAAATCATAACAAAAACATCTGAGCTAACATTTTAAAGCTGATACTATTCATCCCATTCATCACAAATACTCTAAGGCTGCTTCAACTCTGTTCAGGAACCAACATTCCTCCATTCCTGTATAAGTATGCTACAACGCATACTGCTCAGGCCAACCAATAGGCTTTATACTGTTTATACTTTTCATGCACATTCCTTTTAAACTACAGTCAGAAGTAGTAGCAGTGCCTCTGGTCTCTAAACACCTCCTGGCTTTATGTTAATATGTACATCTACTGTGTGAGAAGTCTATGTCTATATGCATTTAATGTACAACTGAAAAACATCTCACAAGTCCAAATGGAAAGATACAGCCAGGGAAATCTTACACTGCATGACCAACTCCAGAGTCCAAGCTATGAGACTTCAAGTGGACTTTTTCATCCTTGATAGTATAATGCATACCTGCAAAATACTGTAAGTCTCGTGCTACTGTTTTATGGCTACTTTGTTTATAGTAAAAGGCATTTATACTCGAAGTGAAATTAAAGCTGTCGATACGCTGAGGAGATATATAGTACCACTGCAGCTCCTAGGAAGACTAACAGAGTCCGCCGATTTATAAACTAGATAATGGCACTGCTCTGTTAATGGAATGAATGGACGAAACCTCAGTTTGTCTGATCATTCAAACACGCACGGAAAAAAGGGAATGAGGCAAAGTCCAACAATCCGACACAACTCGAGGCCTTGTGGAATCAGGGCTGCAAACAGAGCATCCAGTGTTTAAAACTGGTCGGGGCTTGAATGATCCAGCCACTTTTTTCTTTTTCTTTTTTTTTTTTTTTTACATTCTCCAACATTATTACAGCCATAGCATAGAGTGTGAAACCAAAAAGATGAAAGAGAATTAAGAAAATATATAATAAATCAATAGTAAAACATGATAGAGGGCAGCCATTTTCATTCACTGGATGAGTACTTAAAGAGTTTTACAACTAGAGAAATCAAAGATCAATACACAAAAAGAACAAGTACAAAGGCAAGGCAATCTCATTTATGGCCATTTTAGTCTCTCAAAATATTTACCTCACAACCATTATCTACAGTTTGCATTTGGCCATTTGTACACAGTGGTTCCATTACAAACGCTCCATTATTTTTTCATGAATCTGTAGAAATTAGCTTATTTACAAGTCTGTACAACCACCCTATAGAGCTCTCTCCATCTCCCAGAGGACCCAATCCACTTAAAGCAGGATACCTGAGTTTTCAATAGATGCTTCAACCCACTCGTCACTCTTCACCGCACGTTTCACAGGATATCTCGCACAGCCACACACACATGCACACAATTAATTAAGCAAGGAACTTTCTCCAAAAGGATGCTGAGCGTAAACCTTTGTGAAAAAGCCACAAACTCACCAAAACCAAAAACTCAAGAGTCCTTGCAGAAAAGATAGCTAACACCACCCTTAAAATAAAACCATCGTGAGGGAGGTATTGAGAAGGGACATCTTACAGCAGGTGGCAGTCATGGAGGCAGCTGACTGGCTGGCCACTGACTGCCCTGAATAGGAGCCTCTGGTGGTGTATTAGCGTAGAAAAAGACATTAAGTAGGCCAGGATTTGCCTCAAGCAAATGAGTGATGGAGACCTTCCTGGGAGACTTCATCCTGGCTGTGGAGGTCAGAGGAAAAGATCTGACTGCTGCCACCAGGGTGGAAAATTAGAGCAGAAGTGGGTGTAGCTCCTCTCACTGAGTGGCAGCTGCATGTGGCACAGAAAACCTGACAAACAGAAAAAAGTTAATATTTACCTACTGAATAGGCCACAGGTTAAAACAACACTAAACATCTGTGGTCACACCAGTGACTGTAATACTTAAACTTCACTATTCCTATCCTTGCTATTACTGGGGGAAAACATATTAAGATTGTCCTGAGGGAGGCAGGATGTTTACCTTCTGTGCAGCGCCCTTTTATTTTAAGAACTTGACAGACACAGTTTGTCAGGCTCAGGTCTACATGATCAGACCTGACTAAAACGTGATCAATCTGAGCTGTAGTCGGCTAGCCTTAGCTGTCCTTTCAACTGAAAGCCAACTGAAAGCATACTAGCACGCTTACAGTTAACATTCTAACATTTAGTATGTTGACAACTTGGTTTTGAGGTATAGTGTGATGAACTGCTTGTTATGAAGTGTTTGAAAAGTAGAAAGTTTGACCAGCTGGTGGCACTACACAAAATGTCATGGGGTCATAAGTTATTAAAAGTTTATCCTTTATGGGCCATGAATATCTGTATAACTTTTTAGCCACACTGGTGACATGGCTCTACCACCACGTCCAAACTGAAGTATCTCAAAACCTACCGCACGGATTGCCATGAAATGTTGTCCAGACATTCATGGTTCCCAGACAAGGAACACTACTGACTTTAGTGATTCTCTGACTTTTCCACTAGCACCACCATAAAATTCACATTTGTGGTTCTGAATAAAATGTCTCAACAGCTATTGGACAGATTACCATGAAATCTGGTTCAGACGTTCATGTCCCCTCAGGATAAATTGCTCACTTTGGTGATCCTCTGACTTTAACTGTGGACTAAAGTGGTGGACTGATGGACCAA